GCCATTGGGTGCGTTCAGCAGAACGTTTGTTTTGCAACTGTTGGAAGTTTCCTTCGCGCTGATTGGATCATACTTTTAGATCTAGAAGAATGGTCCTATCTCAGCAGACAATCATAAAACGGTTGCAAAACTGTTGAGTCTGCTGAACGCAGCCATTGTGTTTTCTAGGGAAAACGGAATTATCCTGATCGGAATTCATTCCGACATGTTCCATAATAAGTACCCAGGTCATGTGGGTCTCTCGCGCGTTAAAAAGAAATATGGTTGACGTCGGCATGTTTTGTTAACGTTTTCGCTGATTTTATGTTTGTGAGCACGTGATTTTCTGTATTTAATTCCGAAAGCGTGTGTGCCATAAGTTTTCGAAATTTCGTGGAGAACAAGTCCTACGAGCATTAGTGTATTTGTATAAGTTGAATGAAATTTGTGCCAAAAATTTTGAAGAGTTTTTGGATTTGTGGTTGAGAAGTACTGCATTCATTTGGGTAAAAAATCTTTGAAATAATCGGATAAACTTTCAATGGCAGCATGAAATAAGTACAGGTTATATAAATGTAGTGCTTTTAGACATGCCACCTTGTTTTCTTTTGGCTTTAAAACGAGACAAATAGAGTTTTAAGTCTCGCTTAAAGTCAAAGTAACGTTGATGCAACCGGGCCTTAAGCGTGTAAGAATAGGGCCCCTAGGCCTCTTTCATCAACTACAATTAATTTAAGGGTATATCCACACAAACTAGCATAGCCGCATAAACATACGCATAAAGAAATTTATCCAATCGCATTTCTCTTATAAAGTCACACGTAAAATATGAAAATTAGATAATTTTCTTTATGTATACGTTTATGCGGCTATGCAAGTTTTGTGGATTAGAGATGCTCGGTCTAAGCAAAAGAATCGATTTTTTTAATCGACCTGAATCGCAACCGCGAGTATCGATTCACCAAAAGTTTGAATGTCAAAAAATCGATTCGGTAAAGATCGATCTAAAAAATCTGGACTAATTGCAAATTGCATATCATAGCCCTTTTCGTTAAAAAAAAAAAACTGATTCCAATGCATATGGCCGGCCACAGAAAGGTTGCAACATTTTTTTCGATGCTTTCGAAACTCAGTAGAGAGGTTGAATGTAAATGAGTGGATCTATAAGTAAGAACTAATCGCTCGGTGAGCAAACTGCATTCCGAAACTCATGGAAAAAGTGTTACAACCTTTCTGTGATCGACTACACACGGAAGATCGATCTCGGACCTTAAGAATCGATTCGCCGATTTAATCGGAGCTTAAGAATCGATCTAAAAAATCAAGAATCGAAGGTAAAAGAATTGATTTTCTAAAAAATCGATCTTGAATCGAATATCCCTGATGTGAATATATCCTAAAGCGGGGAGCACAGATTCTTGCATAACGCATAACATGTAATGCATAAGAAAATATACCAATCAAAAGTCTTTCGTTTCCTTCCTTTCCATGAAATAAAAAACTCTGATTAGTTGAATTTCTTATGCCTTATATGTTATGCGTTATGCAAGAGTGTGCTGCTCGCTTCACGTTAATCGATAGTTGACTCACCCTGAAAAAATGGGTGACAAGGATAAATTTTACACCTATAACCGATTTTTCACTAATCATCGTTCGGTGTCAAAGCGCTGTTGTTTGCATGAAGATCCAGGGTCAATCGTAATGATTACTAACGTGAGAATTAAACAAAATTTGTCTTAGAAGAGATAAATTCTGTTTAGTGTGATAATCACTGTATTTAATTGTATGCTTGTCGACTAATTTAACCAGAAGTTGGTAAAAGAGGCCCTCAAATTCAGATTGGATTGGAATTTAACCAAAATTCACTAAAATGGAGATTTCTCTTTCTTCTGATTAGTGAAACGTTGGTAATATTACTCATTTATTCCTGGGCCCACTTGATATAAAACCGAAAATTTACTCAAAAGTGGGTTGAACTGGGGGTGTGGTCCACTGACGCTACAAATCTTCGAAACTTTTGAATGACCAATCGGAAGAATTTTACTGACCAATCAAAAAATGCTTCGAAGTATTCGTAGCATTGGGTGCATTCAGTACTATGATTGCTCACTGAACGCTCAGTATCTGTTTGGTCTATATCTTTTAGATCTAACGGAATATGCCAATCAAATGCAAGAGCTCACTGAGCGGTTGTAGTACAGTAGGCGTTATTAATGACTTTTGGATTGAAATTTACAGTTTCCTCCGATCATACACATATCTTTTTTTTAACAGTGTATATAGACATAACGTGTACGATCGAAGGAATTATAAATTTTAAGCTGGAAGGCATCAATGATGCTTACTGTACTGAATGCACTCATTAAGACGTGGTCAAATTTCTACCTGGGTGCTCAGGTGTCATATCATCCTTGTCTAACGTTCAGTAAACAACAAAGATGAAGTGATACCTGGGTAACACCTGGGTAGGAATCTGAATTTAGCATAAGTGGACTTGTGACTTGGGGGTCAGCTAGTCATTTAATATAAATAATACCTTGTCAATTGGTGCTGTATCCTAAAGATGGATGTTTCTAAAAAAAAAAATGAATAAATGTGAATCTATTGAAATCTCCTATAACATTTCAATTTTATTTACAGAATACATAGTACTAATTACAAATTACTACATGAAATATAAGAACAATATGTATATATGTATACCTGTATACAATATGCTTCCATAATAATATTCCATATTACAGAAAATATTTTATATATAAATTATATATGCCTTATATTATTTTATATTACTTTATATGATTATTATTTATATTTTGTATAAACTTTATGTGAAACTACACAAGATCATAGCTCTGTTTGTGTTGCTAGCACCTTTTGCATAATTTTCTCTCTCTTCCACGCTCAAATATATATTTATCTCAATCTTCATCTTTTTAAATGCCAAAATTCTAGAGAATTTCATACAACGCAAACAACCTATGAATAAATTATTTAATCCAAGCAGTATAATATTCATTCTAAAGTCTTATGTTCCCGATGCTAGAAATCGCCCCGAGATCTCAGACGGGGAGAAGGAATTAACAAATCACGTTTGAACAATTCGATCAATTGATCAACTCTTTCTCGGTTTGAGATCTCGGAACAATTTCTGGCATCGTGGATGCAGAGTTTCATTCTCTACATTCTCTAATACAATAAAACCTTAAATGTATATCTAAAATAGTAACAAATAACTAAAAAATATATTATCCAATAGGTCCTCACAAATATATAGCAAATATTAAAATATATATTGATATTGTCTTCACACATAAAATGTTCTTGATAATGTATAAAGAAATCCACTGTTTCAAAATGGTCCGTATCCTGAAATTTTATAATATATATATAGTATATACATATATATGTATATGCACGTTGTATAATAACACAAATAGAGGAGCTCCAATTATACATATATAACATGTATAAATTATATATGTAAAATATTGTGTATATAATTATATATATATATATATAATACATAAATATTCTGGAGGCGTCGAGTGGCTTGCCGCTTAGTGCGATTGACTCGCGATCTATAGATCCGGTTTCAATCTCACCTGTACCCACATACACGATTTTTCGCGTTTAAGGAGTCAAAAATTGCTCCATCTGATGATTAAGAGAGTTTTAATCACCAACGCCGTTCTAATTCGGCATTAAACTGTAGGTTTCACATATCAGTGGATATACATATAGATTCCCCAGGCTGGAACATTAGACTAACAATCTAATTCCGGAAGAAAATTCATACGGGAACCTTGAGGTAGACCGTATCTCGCCTTGAGATATTGCGTCATCGAATGATGATCGAAAATGATGAATACATATATACATATATATATATATATTTACTTACTTGGATTTGGAGGTGGATGTCCCAATCTGTACATATCTGGAGGAAATCTTGGTGGAAATGGTCTAACTGGTGCCATTAAAGTAGGATGTCTGCCTCTTCCCATAGGAGGAATTTGTCCTCTTAATGGAACCATAGGGCTTACTACGATAGGTCTCGGAGGAAAGCTCTAGTAGAGATATATATTCACAAGAAAGTCCAACGAAATTTAGGAACATTCATTAAAAGATGGTCAAGATTGTATACATGTATCTTACTTACACCATAATAGATAGGTACGGGTATTGGCGATTCGATATAATGTGGCGCTATATCTCTTCGTTCCCTGGATCTATCTCTATTTTTATTTCTGTCTCTGTTCCTATCTCTTTCTCTGTTTCTCTCTCTATCTCTATCTCTTCTTTCATAAGATCTTCGTTCATTCGATCTTTCACGATATCTGTCGCGATATGATCTTTCTTCTATAAATGGCCTGTAATAGTAATAATTAAACAAATTACTATTCATAATTCTATTCAACAACGATTTGGCATTCTGTGTTCCTAAATTTATTGTCAATACTAAAAATCCATAATTTATCTTATGACCACTATAGATTTTCAGTTATTGGTGGCGCAACATCTCAAGGCGAGATAGGACCTACTTCTCATGAGGTTTCCGTAACAGTGGATTTTTTTTCCGGAATTAGGTTGTTAGTCTAATATCCAACTTCCAGCCTGAAGGATTCATACATATATCCACCACTGATATTATATGGGATCTACAGATACCGGAATTAGGTTGTTTTAGTCTAATATCCAACTTCCAGCCTAAAGGATTCATACATATATTCACCACTGATATTATATGGGATCTACAGATTAACACCGGATCCGAACGGCACTGGTGATCAAAGATCTGTTAATGACCAGATGGAGCCATTTTCGGCTCCTAAGTGATCAAAGATCTGTTCAGACAGATCAAGTGATCTGTTAATGACCAGATGGAGCCATTTTCGGCTCCTTAAACGCGAAAAATCGACCTCATGGATTTCCAGTACTGGCAGTAAATTTTGGAACACACTTTCTCATATGTATGTTTTACAAATCAATTAATATCTCATGGATTTTCAGTACTGGCAGTAAATTTTGGAACACAGTCTTTGTCATATGTATGTTTTACAAATCAATTAATGCCTAAATTCTAAGAGAATTCTACAGAATTGTAACATATTCCTGTAAAACTTGTTAGAATTTTTAAGTGTTTATACCTTTATACAATATTTCTTCCAGCCATAAAATTTACAAGAAATCGTAGATATTTACGAATAATCGTACGTCTTATATACGATACATACGCATAAAATTAGAATACTAGTCATAAGTTCTTATATACAAATTTTACGAGAACATATTACGAGTCATTACGATTCTGCTTAGAATTGACCCATATGTCTGGTAATACCAAACCATAATAAATTATACTAGATTACAAATAATTGAAATGTTTTTAAGATAATAAAAATATTTATTTATTTAAAATAATAATCTATATCAATGATTACGTTCTGTACCTGGAATGTGAATTACGTTCTCTAGAACGCGATCGATTAGTATCATGCTTGTTTACGCCATCTCTTTCGGTATATTTCTCTTTATATTCTCTGCGTTTCTCTAAATCGCTTCTCCTAAAATGAAGTAACAGAATATACTTTTTAGATAAAACAGTTACTTGTTTTTAATTATATGTAATACTTGTTTGTATGTGCCTTTCATTATTTCAAAAATAAACTTTTTTTATCTCAATAAATAAATAAATAAAGCTTACCCATCATCTTTACGAGTATCACATTTTTCTGTCTTATCCTGATGCTTCAAATCCACGCGACGACTATGGTCATAAGAAAATAGATTAAGGAGTGCATTTAGTGTAAATAGAATATGTCATAACGAGTAAAACGAACCTGGATTGATAGGAAGATGGATATCCGGAATAGACGTGATTCCTAATAGGACTCAAGGATAAAGACCGTTTCCTCAAAGAACGTGGCTTGATCGTCGAGGCTATAATATTATAATATTAAAATATGTAAATTAAAAAAAAATACCATGTTTTGTAATATTATGGAGCCTCAAAAATTGGGAACTAAAACTCACAATTATAAAAAAAATAACATATTGTAGTTATATATTGATGACGGTACATTACACCATGTAATATACCGTCTTCAAACACGCGATCTATAAATTACCTAATTCATTAATTAATTATAAATACAGTTTCCCATTTGAAAAGTATTACAGTCTCGATATTTTTAGCTAAGAGATGTCATTAAAATTACAACCGCTAGCTTTTGATACACTGTTTGTATTGCCAATGCGTGCATGTATCATTTATATGTATATAATCTCTAATCTAAATATATTATACTTCTTATATTATATTAATTTTTTATATTAAATTTTTTTTATTCAAAGAATTTCAAATACTTCGAAAAAAATCAAGTGCAACTTTAGGTATTCATTATATTACTTCATTACTTAATTCTTCAATTGGTACAATTTAAAAACTAATAATAAATAAAACAATTATTTGTGTAATACATACCCGATTGTTCTTTATCTATAGCTACAACTGTGCGTCGTTCTTCTATTTCGTTAGTCTTGTTTATAATCTTTTTTAATTCTTCCCTGTCGAATATTGGTTTACATCCTTCTCCTATATAATTTATTACATTATTTAATGATTAAACTCTAATATATATATATATATATATATAATGAATGAATGAGATATTCAGTAACTATGATTTATCTTTCTCTCCTATCTAAATTAAATGTCTTCGCTTTAAATTTGTTTTATTTGTTATTATTGACTATTATCATAATAATAATAGCAATATTGCTATTGATATGATCTTGTAACAAAAATATTAAAATAAGAAATACTTTGAAAACTAGTTCTGTTTTTGCTAGATCTATGACAATACAATACAATATTTTATAACCTCTAAAAAAACTAATTTAAATATAATAAATACAGAAAGACTTAAATACAAACTTTGATAAAAAAAGTTGCATAAGATTTAGATGATATAATAGTTGCAATAAGTCATTAAAACTTTGAGAAAAATAAAATCTTTTTTACTTATTAATATTATAAATTGTATAATTACGTATAAATTAGCACTTAAATAAAAAATAAAATTACATTGACAGAATTATTGTGATTATTGTATATATAATATTATAATTTCGATGATTTTCAAATATGTCCTGATACATATATATACATTATATGCATAAGATTAAAATGTACAAATGTGCATTTTGCATTTATATAACATTCTTTTTAAATATAAAATTAACATTTATCTGTACTTTAACGTAATATGTAATATTTGATTGCTAAATTAACTATTTTGTAAATATATAAAAAAAAACAAAAACTTTAATAACATTTTTTTACGTCATGATTTACTAGCTTCTTTAAAATTTGATTAAAATTTATAATTTGTCATATATTATTTAGCTTAACTACAGAAAAATGATGTAACAGATTGTAAAATCTTGCGCGAAGAATAGTAACAATATTCAATATAACTAGGGAACCATCTTCTAATGAAAAAATCGTTAAATATCACTCTTCTAAGGACATTTCATATCTTCCGTTGTTGATGATACTGAAATAATTTACAATCGTATATAATTAATATTTGATTAATTCCTTAAAATTTATATTTTTATAATTAAGCAAAAATTTTTAAAAATTGTATTATTTATTAATAATATTCAATATATAACTTTTATATAACATATTTTATACTTTTTTAATCTTTATTATAATCCTTTTATTTCTATGAATGTTTAATGATTATATTTTAATTTTTTCAGAAATTTCATCAAAATTGTTAAAAAATGCGGGATAATTGAATAAAAACATCAATGTATAAAAAATTCTGAAAAGTAAATATATATATTATTGCAAAAATTACAATTTAAATTTTTACATTTATGGAAATAAACTGTCATCAAAGGATATAAATTTTTATTTGTATTAATTATATTAACGTAACAAAAACCATAATAAATATTAAAATTACAATATCCATATTACGTGCATTCCTTGTGTACTTAATCAATCTTGATATTAGAAACAAATTATTATTGAAAAAACTTTCATACCTATTTCTTCTCTTATGATGTACAATTTTATCGTATCTTCATTGCAGACAATCATATTTTTACCACATCTTGTGTTATTAATATACTAACATTCTGTGAAGCAAAATTTTACAAATATAAACATATATACTTCCGAAACTAATTATAAAACAATTGCTAAAAATTTTATATATAATCACA